GAGACGGAGTCTCACTCTGTCGCCCAGGCTGGAGTGCAGTGGCCGGATCTCAGCTCACTGCAAGCTCCGCCTCCCAGGTTTACACCATTCTCCTGCCTCAGCCTCCCGAGTAGCTGGAACTACAGGTGCCCGCCACCTCGCCCAGCTAGTTTTTTGTATTTTTTTTAGTAGAGACGGGTTTTCACCGTGTTCGCCAGGATGGTCTCGATCTCCTGACCTCGTGATCCACCCGTCTCAGCCTCCCAAAGTGCTGGGATTACAGGCGGCTAATTTTTATATTGTTTTTAGTAGAGACGGGGTTTCACTGTGTTTGCCAGGCTGGTCTTGTGATCCTCCTGCCTGGGCCTCCCAAAGTGCTGGGATTACAAGCGTGAGCCACTGCAACCTCTTTTCTAAAAATAAACATTTATTTTTGTTTTAGATCCACAGAAAAGTTAAATAGTACCAGGAGTTCTCGTATACCCAGTTGCATTTTCCCTTTGTTCGTATATTAGTATGAAACATTTGTCACAACTAACGAACCAGTGTTGATACCTTATTATTAATTAAAGTTCGTACTTAAGGCTGGGTGCAGTGGCTCACGCCTGTAATCCCAACCCTTTGGGAGGTCAAGGCGGGCAGATCACGAGGTCAAGAGATTGAGACCATCCTGGACAACACGGTGAAACCCCGTCTCTGCTAAAAATACAAAAATTAGCCGGGCGTGGTGGCACGCGCCTGTAGTCCCAGCTACTTGGGAGCTGAGACAGGAGAATTGCTTGAACCCGGGAAGCGGAGGTCGTGGTGAGCCGAGATTGCGCCACTGCCCTCCAGCCTGGCAACAGAGCGAGATTCTGAATAAAAATAAATAAAAAAAAAAAAAATGGTTAGTACTTTATTCAGATTGTCACAGTTTTTACCAAATGTCCTTTTCTGCCCCAGAATCTCATCCGGTACACCATGTGACATTTAGTTGTGATGTCTCCTTAGGTTCCTCTTGGCTATGACGTTTCACTTCTCAAACTTCCCTTATTTTTGATGATTTTGATCGTTTTGAGTTTTTTGTAGAATGTTCCTGAATTCTAGTTGCCTGATGTTTTTCTCCTGATTTCACTCGGGTTAAGGGTTCTTGGGAGAAAGATCATTTAGGTCAAGTGCCATATTCATTCACTGTCTACTTTTGCCATTTTGGTTTTGTTTTGTTTTGTTTCAAGATGGAGTCTCACTCTGTCACCCAGGCTGGAGTGCAGTGGTGCGATCATAGCTCACTGCAGCCTCAAACTCCTGGGCTCAAAAGATCCCCCCACCTCAACCTCTTGAGTAGCTAGGACCAAAGTACACATCACCACACCTGGCTAATTTTTATTTTTTAATTTTTGTAGAGATAGGGGTCTCGCTATGTTGCCCAGGCTGGTCTCAAACTCCTGGGTACAAGTGATGCTCCCCACTCAGCCTCCCAAAGTGCTGGGATTACACATGGGAGCCACTGTGCCCAGCCATCTTTTGCCATTTCAAGAATCATGTTTTATACATATGTTCCCTGATTTTATCCAATGAATATATGACCCATTTCAAAATAAAATTTAAATTTAAACAAATAAAGCAAACACTAAAAGGATTGCTGAGCTGTGATCTTTAGCTGCAATATGCAGATTTGCACATCTGACAGGACCTCAGAGAACTGGCTCTGTAGGGGAGGAGGCTGTCCTAAGAGGCTACTGTGTGTGCAGTGTCATAGAGTTAGCTACCAACCAAGCCAGGACTGGCACTCAGATCCCAAGCCTCAATCCCTTGTTCTTTTTTTTTTTTTTTTTTGACAGGGTCTCGCTGTCGCCCAGGCTGGAGTACAGTGGTGCAATCTCAGCTCACTGCAACCTCCACCTGCTGGGTTCAAGTGATTCTCCTACCTCAGCCTCCAGAGTAGCTGGGATTACAGACACGTGCCACCACTCCTGGCTAATTTCTGTATTTTTAGTAGAGATGGGGTTTCACCATGTTGGTCAGGCTGGTCTCGAACTCCTGACCTCAAGTGATTCTCCTGCCTCAGCCTCCCAAAGTACTGGGATTACATGCGTGAGCCACTGCACCCAGCCTTCAGTCCATTGTTCTTTGCCTTCTGACAGCCCTCCTCTTGGGCAGGCTCTGTGGATCTCTTCCAGACTAATATCAGCCCTGAGCCTCAGCCTAAAACAAATGCAGGCAATAGCTGAGAAAAAACTGCTCCCTCCTGGGCCTGCCATGGTCCAACCTGCTACTGGTCAGGTCACCATTTCTCCTCTAGTCTGGGGCACAATTTCCACCTTATTGTGCCCAGCATGGCTTGTCCTTCAGGAACTAATTGAAGTGGAAGGATTTGGAGGATAAGCGTCTGCACACTCCTGCTGGTTCCTGCTGGGCTCCCTTGGTTACCAGACCTCGGGACAGCTCTAGGCCAGTCATGGCCCCTGGCAGTGCTGGCCACATGCCCCAGGGTAGCTGGGCCCCTCCCCGTCGAGAGCCCCGCCATGGCTTCCGTGCCCGCTGGTCCCCCTCCCCTCTCACACTCTTTCCAATTTCTTCCAGGCCTCCCAGCCGACACCCTGCAAGGCCACCGGGACCGCTTCATGGAGCAGTTTACAAAGTAAGTGGTTCAAGTAACAGGAATGGAGGTGAATCCAAGAGCACTATAAAATTTAAGCCACGCAAGAGCACTGTGAGAGGTGGCTGGACACAGTGGTTCATACCTGTAACCCCAACACTTTGGGAGGCCGAGGTGGGAGGATCACTTGAGGCCGGGAGTTTGACACGAGGCTGAGCAACACAGCGAGACCCCGTCTCTACAGAAAAAAAAAAAAGCAAAACAAATTACCTGGGCACAGTGGTATGCACCCGTGATCCCAGCTACTTGAGAGGCTGAGGCAGGAGGATGGCCTGAGCCTAGGAGTTGGAGGTTGCAGTGAGCTACGATTGTGCCACTGCACTTCAGTCTAGGTGACAAGTGAGACCCTAAAAAAAAAAAAAAATTTAAATACTTGGGTTGGGGGGTAAGATTATCTTCTTTTTTTTTTTTTTTTGAGATGGAGTCTCTCTCTGTCACCAGGCTGGAGTGCAGTGGTGCAATCTCAGCTCACTGCAACCTCTGCCTCCTGGGTTTACGTGATTCTCCTGCCTCAACCTCTCAAGCAGCTGAGACTACAGGCACGCACCACCACGCCCAGCTAATTTTTGTATTCTTAATAGAGATGGGGTTTCAGCATGTTGGCCGGGATGGTCTCAATCTCTTGACCTTGTGATCTGCCCGCTTCAGCCTCCTGAAGTGCTGGGATTACAGGCGTGAGCCACCGCGCCCAGCCTGAGGTTATCTTCATTCTAAGGTGATAAAGTGACAGAACGTAGCTCAGACAGAGGCAAATCTACCTATAGCTAGGGCAACTATTGGTTCTCTAATAAATCCCACAGAAGCATATAGAAGAAAGAGATTTCATCCATTCATTAGTTGCCTGCTTATGCCTCTTTTCTTTTCCCTCTCCCAAAGTTCTGGTCTTGTAACATTTGTAGACTGATAACCCCTAACAATGTATCTCTAGCCAGACCTTACTTCTGAATTCCAGCCTCTTGTCCCCAATTTGACATTGGTATAGCATACTTAAATCTCAAACTGTACTCTAGGTTTTCCCAAAAAAAAAAACAAAACCTTTCTCTCTCCATTCTTTTTTTGTTTGTTTGTTTTTGTTTTTGGGACAGAGTCCCACTCTGTCACCCAGGCTGGAGTGCAGTGGTGCGATCTTGGCTCACAGCAACCTCATCCTCCCCATCTCCAGTGATTCTCCTGCCTCAGCCTCCCAAGTAGCTGGGATTACAGGCGCCCACCACCATGCCCAGCTAATTTTTGTATTTTTAGTAGAGACGGGGTTTCACCGTGTTGGCCAGGCTGGTCTCGAACTCCTGACCTCAAGTGATCTGGCTCCCAAAGTGATGGGATTACAGGTGTGAGTCACTGTGCCCAACCCCTCCCCATTCTTTTCTATCTCAACAAATACTGTCATCATCCATTTAGGCCAGAGATCTGGAAGTCACCATTTTCCTCATCCCCCACGTCCAATCCACTAGCAGGTTTGGTTGATACCCTACACCTGCTTCTGAGGTGGGATGGGGGACTGGACTCTGGAGGCAGGAATTAAGGACAAGTAAAACAGGGAAGGGGTGGAAGCATCTCTGCATAAGACACGCCCCACCAGTGTGCCGTGACAGTTTACCATTTGGCAACACCCAGAAGTTAGCGCCCCTTTCCATGGCAAAAACCTGACAATCCGGAAGTTACCACTTTTTTTCTAGAAATTTCTGCATAATCTGCCCCTTAATTTGCATATAATTAAAAGTGGGTATATATTTGTGTGTGTGTGTGTATATATATATGTGTGTGTGTGTATATATATGTATGTATACATGATAGCTGCTATTCTGGGCTCACTGCCTATGGGGTAGCCCTTCTCTGCAAGGAACAGGACCTCTGCTGCTGGCTGTGCACTGCTGCCTCAGTAAAAGCTGCTAACATCGGCCAGGCACAGTGGCTCACGCCTGTAATCCCAACACTTTGGGAGGCCGAGGTGGGCAGATCACTTGAAGTCAGGAGTTCAAGAGCTGCCTGGCCAACATGGTGAAACCCTGTCTCTACTAAAATACAAAAATTAGCAGGGCATGGTGGCACACACCTGTAATCCCAGCTACTCGGGAGGCCGAGGCAGAAGAATCACTTGAACCCGGGAGGTGAAGGTTGCAGTGAGCCAAGATCATGTCACTACATTCCAGCCTGGGCGTCCGAATGAGATTCCATCTCAAAAAAAAAAAAAAAAAGATCTTTATTTAGGCTGGGTGCAGTGGCTCACGCCTGTAATCCCAGCACTTTGGGAAGCTGAGGCAAGTGGATCACTTGAGGTCAGGAGTTTAAGAGCAGCCTGGCCAACATGGTGAAACCCTGTCTCTACTATAAATACAAAAATTAGCCCTGTAATCCCAGCTACTCAGAAGGCTGAGGCAGGAGAATTGCTTGAGCTCAGGTGGCAGAGGTTGCAGTGAGCTGAGATCATGCCACTGCACTACAGCTTGGGCAACAGAGCAAGACTCCATTAAAAAAAAGAAGGAAAGGGGTGGGGGGAAACCAGGCAAAAGTGAAGGAATAGAGTGAGAGTTGGGAGGACAGAGGGAGCTGAGAAAGGCCTCCTGGCTTAGCTCTGTGAAAGTACACCCTCTTGTTTTTCCTGTTAATTTCCTCACCCTTGACCATAGCTCCCAAATGCCAAGTTTCAGCCTCTCTGCCCGGTTCCCCAGGAGCAAGCAAAGGACAAGTGCGTGGTTGTACCCACCTCCTGGTACCCCTGTTCCATTTGAGAAGCCGAGTACATATTCTATGATAAATGGCTTCTTTAGTCCAAGGAGACAGGCCCTGGGGCTGATTTCCTGGAATGTCAAATTCCGGTAGCTTGTGAAAGCAGTCGAGCCTATTACTGTTGGCTCCAACCCAGCAAGATGGGGACATGTGGTCAGGTGATTTCATTTCCTTTCATTTGCTTCTAGCTTATAAAAACAGCTCCCCTGAGTAGCCGCTTTGCTGTCCCACACAGACGCGGCTGCTGTCTGAGACCTCCCTGTCCTTGAATTCAGGGGAAGCAGCAGTGATGTCACAGAGACAGGCCTAAGTCTTGGGATCTGACAGGATGTAACCCGGGGGGTTCATTTGTTGGGCTAAGCTGGAGAAAGTTCTGTGTTGCAGGCCGAAGGAGTTAAGGCCCATGCACCCCTTTCATCTCAGAATAGATAAGTCTGAGCTGGGCATGATGGTGCATGCCTGTAGTTCCAACTACTTGGGAGGCTGAGGTGGGAGGATCGCGTGAGCCCGGGAGGTCGAGATTGCAGTGAGTCGTGATCGTGACATTGCACATCAGCCTGGGCAACAGAGCAAGACCTTATCTCTAAAAAACTTAAAATAGGTCAGACGTGGTGGCTCATGCCTGTAATCCCAGAACTTTGGGAGGCCAAGGTGGGTAGATTGCTTGAACCCAGGAGTTTGAGACCAGCCTGGACAACATAGTGAGACCCCATCTCTACCAAAACCACAAAAAAATAGCCAGGTGTGGTGGCACACACCTGTACTCCCAGCTATTTGGAGGCTGAGGTGGGCCCAGGGAGGTCAAGGCTGCAATGAGCTATGATTGTGCCACTATACGTCAGCCTGGGCGATGGAGTAAGACCCAATCTCAAAAAAATATTTAAAAATAGGCAGGGCATGTTGGCTCACACCTATAATCCCAACACTTTGGGAGGCCGAGATGGGAGGATTACCTGAGGTCGGGAGTTCGAGACCAGCCTGACCAACGTGGAGAAACCCCCATCTCTACTAAAAATACAAAATTACCCGGGCATGGTGGCACATACTTGTAATCCCAGCAACTCGGGAGGCTGAGGCAAGAGAATCACTTGAACCTGGGAGGCGGAGGTTGCGGTGAGCCAAGATCACACTACTGCACTCCAGCCTGAGCAACAAGAGCGAAACTCCATCTGAAACAAAATAAATAAAATAAAAATATAGAATATATAAGTCTGGATCCTCTCAGGTTTCTTGGTCTTCAGTGTTTAGATTCAAAATAGAGATTTGAGAATGAGAAAAAGATGCTGAGTTTGCCAGGTGTGGGGGGGCTCATGCGTGTAATCCCAGCACTTTGGGAGGCCAAGGCAGTAGGATTGCTTGAAGCCTGGAGTTTGAGACCAGCCTGGGCAACATAGCAAGACCCTGTTTCTACCAAAAAATTAAAAATTAGCCGGGCATGATGGTGCACCCCTATAGTTCTAGCTACTTGGGAGGCTGAAGCAGAAGATCACTTGAGCCCAGGAATTCGAGGCTGCAGTGAGCTATGATTGCACCACTGCACTCTAGCCTGGGTGACAGAGCAAGACCCTGTCTCTACAAAAAGAGAGGGAAAAAAAAACAATGTTGGTTTCTTCATGCGTATATCCACCCAAGATTAGGACATAGTACCAAATGATTGTAATTCTCCAAGTGTTTATTGAACAGTTCCCCTGTCCCTGGCACTATGGGAAACAGCTCAGCAGAGCTCAGTCCCCACTTCCCAGGAACTTATAGTCCTAATTGTGAAGAGAACGAATAGTCCAAAAACAAAGATAAGTAATGAAAGAAGAGAGCTACCTTTGTAATTAAATTCCCTTCCCTTTTCCTATGGTTAGTTGGCTTATCCTCAGAGAAAGTCCGTTTCTTTTCATGTTACTCTAAACCAAACATTTCTCGGAAGTTAAGTCTGCAAGATAACAACATATATTCTACAGCAATGAAGAAATTAGCTTTTGGATTGTCTACTCTTCCAAAGGATGTGTAGCATGAATTACTCTTTCCTCACTACCAGGTCACTGAGGACCAGCTTTAAATAATCCTCCTCTGTAGCATCATAATTGAGTCCCAGCGCCATGGAGTTTATCTCCTTGACAGCCTGTGCCTTGGGGCTGGGGAGGGGGCAGGAAGGCCAGGTGGCTGCTCTGTCCCCTACATGGGGCTGATGAAGACACCCAGCACCCCTCAGGTCCTTCTCCATCCCTAGGTTGAAAGAGCTGTTCTACCGCTCCAGCAACCTGCAGTACTTCAAGCGGCTCATTCAGATCCCCCAGCTGCCTGAGGTAAGCATGCCTGACCGCACACCGTCGGCACTGCAGAAGCCCCAAGTACCCTCTTAGAGGCCGGCGGGGCCTGGCAAGCGAGCACTGTTTGAGGATGTGTCTCCGTCTTCAGAACCCACCCAACTTCCTGCGAGCCTCAGCCCTGTCAGAACACATCAGCCCCGTAGTGGTGATCCCTGCAGAGACCTCATCCCCCGACAGTGAGCCAGTCCTAGAGAAGGATGACCTCATGGACATGGATGCCTCTCAACAGGTGAGGACCACTTGGGAGAGAAACATGGCCTTTCCTCTTGCCTGCAAGTACGGGGAGAGGCTGGGGGAGACCCTGGCCAAAGCCCATTGACTCTAGCCAGGTTCAGCCTTCTCTTCACCTAGCACCAACCTAGGCTGAGCATCCTGCTCTGTGACAACCAGAAGGATCATAAATGGGTCTGGCTGGGTGCAGTGGCTCACAGCTGTAATCCTAACACTTTGCAAGGCTAAGGTGGGAAGATTGCTTGAAGCTGGTTCAAGACCAGCCTGGGCAACATAGTAAGACCCCATCTTTACAAAATTAGCCAGACGTGGTGGCACACATGGCTGAGATGGGAGGATCGCTTGAGCCTAGGAGGCTAAGGCTGCGGTGGGCTGTTATCATGCCACTGCACTCCAGCCTAGGCAAGAGAACAAGAAACAGGTCCTAAAAAAATAAATAAATAAAACAAAAATTAAAAAATTATCCAGGCATGGTGGTACACACCTATACTTCTAGCTACTCAGGAGGCTGAACCAGGAGGATCACTTGAGCCAGGAGTTGGAGGCTGCAGTGAGCTATGATTGCACCACTGTACTCTAGCCTGGGCAGTAGAGTGAGAACCTGTCTCAAAAAAAAAATTAAAAAAATTAAATTGTCTGAACCAAATTGAGAAAGGGGGCATTCTCCCATGTCACCAAACTGACCCACACACAGAAGTCTCTGGCGCTCTGACTTATTCTCACTCCTTTTTGGTCAACCACAGAGTTTATTTGACAACAAGTTTGATGACATCTTTGGCAGTTCATTCAGCAGTGATCCCTTCAATTTCAACAGTCAAAACGGCGTGAACAAGGATGAGAAGTGAGTCCAACCTGGGTTTAGGCAGATGGTGCAGGAGCTAAGTTAAGCCATGGTCTGCCTCAAAACACTAACCAAAGAGGAATTCTTAATGATACCGGGGCTTCTTAGATAAAGAACATCTGGAAGGGCTGGGTGCAGTGGCTCACGCCTATAATCCCAACGTTTTAGGCGGATGAGGCAGGAGGATTGCTTAAGGCTAGGACTTCAAGACCAGCCTGGGCAGCATAGCAAGACCTCATCTCTATTAAATAAAAGTAAAAAAATTAGCTGGGCAGGTTGTACACACCTGTAGTCCCGGTTACTCAGGAGGTTGAAGTGGAAAGATCACTTGAGCCTGGGATATCAAGCCTTCGGTGAGCTGTGATCATGCCACTACACTTCAGCCTGGGCAACAAAGCCAGACTGTCTCTAAAACAAAACCAAAAACACACACAAAAAGAATGTCTTGACCCTCAAATATTGGCCCCTTTAATCTCAGAAGAAAATCAATAACCATGGACTTATGAGTATTAGATTAGTATCTTTTAACATTTAGAGTATAATTCATAGCATTTCAAAGAATTGTCCCCAAATTAATACCAGCTTTTGATTTCCTACCCTGAGCTCACAATTAAAAAGAGAGGGATAGAAGCACTATGGAAGCAAACTCATTCCCCTTCTCTTCCCAGGGACCACTTAATTGAGCGACTATACAGAGAGATAAGTGGACTGAAGGCACAGCTAGAAAACATGAAGACGGAGGTATGCCTTGGATCTGCTCTGCCTTTGCAATTCACCAAAACACGGTAGATTTGAATGTTAAATTTGCATCACACTGGCCAGGCACGGTGGCTCACACCTGTAATCCCAGCACTTTGGGAGGCCAAGGCAGGAGGATTACCTGAGGTCGAGAGTTTCACCCTGGGAAACCCCGTCTACAATAAAAATACAGTAATTAGCCGGTGTGTTGGCAGGCACCTGTAATCCCAGCTACTTGGGAAGCTGAGGCATGAGAATTGCTTGAACTTGGGAGGCAGAGGTTGCAGTGATCACGCCACTGCACTTCAGCCTGGGCGACAGAGCAAGACTCTGTCTCAAAAAAAAAAAAATTGCATCACATAGACACTTTTTGGACTTCATCCTTAGGGTAGGTTAATTAGTAGAAACAAGCCAGGCGTGGTGGTGCACGCCTGTGATCCCAGCTACTGAGAAGGCTGAGATGGGAGGATCACTCAAGCCCAGGAGTTCTGAATCCAGCAACATAGGGAGACCCCCGTCTCTAAAACCAAATAAAAGCTGGTAGAAATGCTAAATCCAAAATGTGTTCTCTGTCATAATGCATTTCCATTTGACATGCCATGAGGACAGCATTTAGGCCAGGCGCAGTATCCATGTGATTGATGCCCAGAGATGACCTTGGTCCCCACAAGGCTGAGAAGCTCTGGGGAACAAGACCAGACCTTCTCACATGGCGATAAGGAGAGATTGGTTTGCTGGGCACAGTGGCTCCCGCCTGTAACCCCAGCACTTTGGGAGGTTCAGGCAGGAGGATCACTTGAGCCCAGCAGTTCAAGACTAGCTCGGGCAACATAGTAAGTCCCCATCTCTGCAAAAAACTTTTTAAAAATTAGCTGGGCATGGTGGTGTATAACTGTAATGCCAGCTACTCGGAAGGCTGAAGCTAGAGGATCTCTTGAGCCCGGAGGTTGAGGCTGAAGTGAGCCACTATCATCTCACTGCGCTCCAGTCTGGGTGATAGTGGTACCCTGTCCCACGCCTCCCGCCAAAAAAAAAAAGAAGAGATGATGTCAGCAGTGTTGGTGCCATATTAACAACCGCTCCTCACAGTGGCTGTTCAGGTGACTTTACCCACAGGGACAGCCAATGCTACCCTCAGTCACTCTAAAGAGGACCACAATTCCCCTGTCATCATGCCCTGTTATGGCTGTTGATTGAGGAGCTCCTAACGACCAGATGGTCCAGCCCTCCTGGGCCGTGGGGAGTTGACTTCGGGGAACCGGGTATTTACTTGGAAGCACAGTAGGACCCGCTTCTCCAGCCCTTGCCCGTGACCCGTGGCAGTGGGCAGCTGGCCTCATGACCCGAGTCCCCCCACAGAGCCAGCGGGTTGTGCTGCAGCTGAAGGGCCGCGTCAGCGAGCTGGAAGCAGAGCTGGCTGAGCAGCAGCACCTGCGGCAGCAGGCGGCCGACGACTGTGAGTTCCTGCGGGCAGAACTGGACGAGCTCAGGAGGCAGCGGGAAGACACCGAGAAGGCTCAACGGAGCCTGTCTGAGATAGAAAGTGAGCGGTGGGTGGGGGCAGGGGCGGGCCCGGGGGGCAGGCGCGGGCAGCAGAGCCCAGCTGGACTCAGGATGCGGCACAGAGGCTGGGCGGGGGAGCCCCAGACTGTCTTTCTAGAAATAGTCAGGAATGCCAGCCCTTAGCCTCAGTCCAGAGGGTGGGTTTGAGTCCTGCAGGCACAAAGCCCTGTGTGAGGCACTGCTGAGCACAGAGATGGGAAATACAGAAGATGGCCCTGAAGTGCTTGCCCTGGGCAGTGGATACTAAGGGAGAAGGAGAGAGGACTGAGGTCATAACAAAGAAATTGACATACAAGCTGAGAGCACAGTGGCTTATGCTTATAATCCTAGCACTCTGGGAGGCCAAGATGGAAGGATTGCTTCAGGCCAGGAGTTCAAGACCAACCTGGGCAACATAGCAAGACCCCATCTCTAGAAAAAATAAAAAAGATTAGCCGGGCATGGTGGCACATGCCTGTAGCCCCAGCTACGCTTGAGGCTGAGACAGGATCACTTGAGCCCAGGAATTCAAGGCTGCAGTGAGCTGATTGTACCACCGCACTCCAGCCTCGGTAACAGAGAGCCTTGTCTCTATAAAAACTCAATTAAATGTTTTAAAAAGCTGAAAGCCCCCATAGAATAAATGCCATGTATGTAAGTGCTGAAGAGGCATGAATCCCTGGCTTGATTTTATTGTTGTTGTTTTCTTTTCTTTTCTTTTTCTGAGACAGAGTCTCCCTCTGTTGCCCAGGCTAGAGTGCAGTGATGTGATCTGGACTCACTGCAACCACCGCCTCCCAGGTTCAAGCGATTGTCCTGCCTCGGCCTCCTGAGTCACTGGGATTACAGGCTCACACCACCATGCCCGTCTG